TTTGCCGAACTGCGCCAGGAGTAACAACTGTGCCACCCACTTTCATCTCATTCAATTCTCTCATTATAGGAGAAGACAGACCATGACAGGGCAGAGACAGCACACATGGGTGGATAGAAGCCAGACATTAGACTTCTCGCATCATGCAAGGAGAGAATCCTGTCCCTCGCAGATGAAGACTGGGACCACTCCTGTGTGGAAGCTGAAATATCCACGTCCCACCAATTGAATAAGTATCATTCTTCATTCCACTGCAACTCTCACAGCAACTCTCCTGTCAGTCTTATTCATTACACACCACTTCTAACCACTGGCTGCAAAACCATCACCTTCATGTATTGCAGGAACCGCAGTTTCTCCAACCACTACAGTGAAATAACTGACTCACCCAGGAACCAACTACTCAACCCTTAAGGATGACAATACCAAAGCCTCAGAGGAAGCATCAAAAAGGCTCTCTCCAGCAGTCCCCTTCTCCACCAGTTCAGATACTGACACTGTGGGGGAACTGCAGGCTTAGAAAGAGTTGGACACAATCTTGCAAATGCGCTGCAGCTGGCTGAGGGTGAAATCCTCAGGCTGCTAGCACACAGAGGACAGCTGGAATTTTCTTAATGTTTCTTAATTGCTTGGGACGTTTGGTAAGATAGGAAGCTGAATATTAATCAGGCAAGTTGTGCTATCAACATACCATTTAACAAGCAACAATCCCCCTTAATTATAAACCCAACATTCTGTTGTCAAAAGCATAAAAGATGAAATGAGATACTCCAGGCATTGAGATTGGCCTCACTGAGTTTCTTGTCTGATTCTGCCACAAATTTCACCATAGCCCACATCACTCAGACCCCTATAAGATTCTGCCCTTGCCTCTGTCCTGACAACTGCAAGATGAAAACCTTCAAAAGCAGATCTCTTTTTGTCATCCATATTCGAGTTATCTACTATCACGTGACCAATTAATTTTTTGGAAGATTGAAGCCATTGTTTTGATCCTCGCTCAAAACTCCAATCCCTAGCTGACTGCATTGTTCCTTGTGGCTACAGTCTCAGATTAAGTTAATCTTTGGTCAAGACATAAACTTCCAAATGTACATTCACACCATGACTAAGACCGCCTATTTCAACATTACTTGACTTTGCTGACCTCAGTTTATTTGCTGCTGATACACTCAGTTGTGACTGTCATCTCTAGACTATTCCAATGCAGTCCTGGTGGGTGGGTCATCCAAAACACTGCTGCCTATGTTGCACCAAGTCCCATTGACCGATCACCCCTAGCATCCTGCACCTGTCTTGGCTCATGGTCAAATAATTACCTGACATTGAAATTCTCTTACTGATTTTCAAATCATTCCATGGCCTTGTCCCTCCTTGGGTGGTATTTAATGAAGGTGATATGCATCTTGCCCACCATCTAGAGAAACTGTGAGAGCGCAGCGTTGCTTCTTATAGGGAACGACCACCATATGAAGAATTATTCAGGTTCTTAATTGGACAGCAGAATGCCTTCCCCAGGATCAAAGATCACCAACTGTTGAGGGGGTGTCTTGTCCAATCAGACTGAGGCAACTGACAGCATCATAGGGAGGCGATGGCTGCTGCCAGTGTTATACCCACCTGAGTTGTAGTAGAATGGCTAGATCTGAGGCCACGGGTGAGTAACGTTTACAGGAGGAGTTATGTGGTGGGAGTTGCGAGGGGTTCACAAGCTTTCAGCACCACCCCTCCCCACTCCTGATGCCAGTTATCTCAATCAAGCCAACTAACAAACCTGCAGAAGTTTTCTGGTTATGCCAGACAAATGGCAAGCCCTTTGTCCACTGCTAGGTTAATGTCAGCAATGGCAGGATGAGACCCTCAGGTGGCTTGAATTGCCCATTTTGGACCTGAACTGGTGCAGAAAGGCCTTCCATGGGCCTTTCTGCCACAGACCTAATCAGAATGGACATAGAATCCTCTCTGCCTGATTAAATGCCTCCCGAACACCAAGTTTACCATGGCAGGAGGAAGGTGTTAAAACCCACTCCTTACCTCTGTAATCTCCAGCCCCACAACTGTCTCAGATACCTGCAGTCATCCAATCCTGGTCTCTTAAACATCTCTGTTTTTATTCACTGCACTTTCTTCTTCTTATTAGTGGCATTTCAGTTGACTTGCACATTGTTGTGGAATTCTCTTTCTACACTGCGCTCTCAAACTTCATTTCTTCCCATAAGATGCTCCTTGACATCCACCTCTTTAATGAAGCCTCAGATTACCTGACCTATTATCTTCTTATGTGGTTCAGTGTCATAGTTTTATTGCACTCTTGTGAAGTGTCTTGAGATATTTTAAAAGCATTATATAAATAAATCGTTATAGTTCTTGTTGTGGTGCCAGCAGCATCTGTATAGGAAGCATAACAAATGTTTGTCCATGTTTTCAAAAAATTATTCTCAGGAGGTAGGAAAGCGATGTCATGCGATGAGGGTCTGTTTCAGAAGTCGATTACTTAGCATGTGGATGCAGTGTGCAGATCAGACCAGTTGATTTTGCACAGTCAAGGTTGCAATACTGGAGGATTTGGCTTTGGTGAGGATGCTGGAGTTTGTTCATTCGGTTTCCCGCTTGACTTGGAGTATTTTGCACAGGCATTCCAGGGTGGAAATTCTCCAGTGCTTGAAAGTGCCTTTAGTTGATGACCCCACTCTCACTGCCATGTAGAAGTATGGTGACAACAATAACCTTGTAGACTAAAGAGTCTGTTTTCTTATAGAGATCTCTGTTGCCAAAGTTGCACCATTTTTGGAAGATTGTACAGGCACTGCTAATGCTGTGCCGAATCTCTTCTTTGATGGTGACTTTTCGAAAAAGTCACATATTTTCAATGGCAAGATCATATTTAGTGCATGGAAAGCACTTATAACCCATGCTATAACCCATGTCATGTGGTAGCATTTCATTCAACAGTCAAAAACTACTTAAATTCTAATGCAGAAAAGTGGTGAAAGCAGAAAAGAGAGCAAAACCTGGGTTCTAAAATCCTCCTTGTTCGGGGCAACTTTTGTATTTCATTTCTCAAGCCCAGAGTCTCCAGGATTAGCCTACTGACTTACCTGAGGCCATACAAACCATGTAACTTGGCTGATGTTATGCTTGATTCAAGGGACTCATGATGATGATGCTGTAATTGCCTATATCGTACAACTTCAGTTATCTTTTCTGCCTATTAAAAATTGTCTATGACTGCAATTCTATGAAAAATAGCTGGGTTTGAATCTACATGCAGTTACAAGCTCAAGCCATGAGGTGACAATGTAAAGTAAGATTTAGAAATCTCTGCTACATTGCTGTTTTGTTCCTCTTTTGTTTCACTTCCAACTTGAAAGCTCCAACCTACCATATGCTCCATTTTCCAAATTTCTCCAACAATTTTCTATTAACCATAGGTAATAGCTGATAATAACATGTCCTGATATAACCATCTCAGACTTTTAATTCAACTGAACGTTATATTAGTCCTGGCTGGTCTTTAGAACATCACAGGACAACTTCTGTTGTATGTTACAATAAAGAAAACTCAGATTTTTGTTGCACCTTTCATAAACTTTGAACATCCCAAAATCCTTTACCAAATTGAGTACTCTTGAAGTGCAGTCGCTATTGTAAATGAGGAAATGTGGTAGCTAAGTTGTGCACCAATTCCTGCAAATACCCATTTGCTAATGACCAGATCATCTGTTATTTTTGAGATGTTAGTTGAGATATAAATGTTGCTCAGAACAAAATGTTCCTTTGTTTTTTAAAATTGTGCTTCAAATCCTGTGTTCATCCTATGGGCATCGGTTAACGTCACAAATGAACGATAGAATCTCGATAGTTGAGCAGTAATTTGATACTGTACTACAGTCAAGTCCAGAAATCACGCACACTTCTGCCTTGGAGTGATTTGTAAACAAAGATGAGAATTTTAAAGTCAAGAGATACTTAACCAGGAGTTAATATAGGTCAATAAATATAGAGTGTTAAGGAAACAGGAGTTACTGCAAGTTAAGGCCTGGGCAGCTGAGATTTGGATGACTTCAAGTTTACAGAGGATAGAATGTGGGAGACCAATTTGGATTGCGCTGGAATAGTCAATTCTAGATGTAACGATGGCATGCATGAGGTTATTAGCAACAGATGAGCTGAGACAGGGACGAAGTCTGATGATGGAAATAGGTAGTCTTGGTGATGGCACAAATATAACATTAGAAACTCATTTCAGAATTAAATGTGACACAAAGTAGCAAAGGGACCAAGTTGAAAATATAAGACTATTTACGAGTTTTGAAATGATATTTTTTAAATGTAGGATGAATGGAGGAATACCTAATCTGGAGGATGGCAGACAGGCTTTGTTGATAACCAAGCAAAGAGATATCCATGTCATGTTAGTGAAGGAATGGTGTGAGATGTTGCAAGTTCAAAAATGGGAGAGCATCATGAACTATCTTGAGGAGACAATCTGGCTCTGCAGTCTCAAAGTCCGAAATGGGCAAATTATTCATGTTGCTCCCCCCAGGTCAAAGAAGGGCTGAAGATAACTTCTGAACAAAGTTGAGTTGGAGTATCTATTGACTTTTCAGATCTGAGGAAAAGTTTAAAGTTAAAGCTAATTGATTTGCTTTTTGGGTTACTTGTTCTCAAATGTAAGAAATATAAACATACATACAATGTAATCAAATATTGCCTTTATCTTATTTCTCTTAACTGTTAATTGCTTTAAATCTACACTAAAACATTGCAAAATTGTAAACTATTAGTAAAGGTAATGAGGATGCATTCACGATGTCACCATATTCCATAATTAAATTTACATTCTTAAATGTGCTGCCCTACTCCTAACTAATTCTCAATTGGATAAAATAAATGTGTGAACTATCAAGTAGATATTAAATTACAAATTCAAAGATATATTGTGATGTATTTTCAGTTAGCAAAGGTGGTCTTAAGTTCATGATAATTGAAACTCTTACCATCCAGTACAGCTTCACAACATACTTTCCATAACTGTTGTAAAGAGGTACGTGTCCCTTTGAAACCTTACAAAGGGCATATATGTGCTCCCAAGGTTTCCAGGGAGATCCCCTTGCCTCCAGCAAGACCTTATCATTTAATTTAGAGTCCTGGCAGGTGTGCCACAGCATAATGATTTCACTGATAATCCATCGCATCATCTGGTGAAGACAAAACAGAAGAAATTACTGCAAAGCTTTAAAAATAGCAGAGGTTTTATTTTGGAGTTTTGTACTTCCCTCTGATAACACAATAATAATTGTCTTGTGAGTATTCTTTTTAACTAAAGTGAGGACTATATCCATAAAATTACAGATTTATGAATCTAGTAAATCTTATTTGCTTTGATGAAGTGGCTGCTAACTTTGTTCAGACACAGGGAATAAGAATATGTAACAATAGTAACCTGTTCAACCTTGCTTGAAGGTGCCTTTGTTTATTAAAGCCATATAAAGAAAAACTACAGAATTACTCCCTAAAATTCTTAAAGTTTGACTTATTGTGAAAGTTATTAATGGTTTAAGTGCATTGTGACAATAAAAGGAACAGAAAAGACATAAGAGACAGAAACAGGATAGGCGTCTGTGGGGAGATGGAGATAAAGGCTGCCCTCAAAGGAGGGAAGATTTGTGTCTGTGTGTTACCTTTCAAGATCACAGGATACTTAGATTAAAGGGCTTCAGAGCCAATAAAGTATTTTAAATGGTAGTCACTTTTCAGTTCTTTAGTTGAATTGTTTGTGGCACACAAAAATCACTGGTAAGGCCAGAATTTATTGTCCATTCCTAACTGACCTTGAGAAAGGGATGGTGAGCTCCTGTTGGGCGGCAAGTTACAAAATTTTGATCCAGCAACAGCGAAGCAAAGTCACTACAGTTACAAGTCAGGGTGGTATATGAATTGGAGGGGGGCTTACAAATGGAGGTGTTCCTGCTGCTGCCCTTGTTCCTCTATGTGGTGAAGATCATGAGTTGGAGAGTGCTGTCAAAGAAAGGTTGATGCATTGGTGCATTGTATCTCAGTAGATAGTACACATGCCATGGTGCACCAGTGTTGAGAGGAGAGGGGTTGGGGGTTGGGTAGGTGAACATATAAAGTCGTGGAAGGGGGTGCCGAGTAAGCTGATCCGACGCTGAACTGAACTTTGTGAGTGCTACTGGAGCTGAACTCACCCGGGGAAGTAGAGTATTCCATCACACTTCCAATTTGTGTCTTGTAGATGGTCAACAAAGGGAGTCAAGAGGTGAGTTATACAATATCATTTCTGACATTATGATAGAGATAAGCCACTGATGAAGCTAAAGATGGTTAAATCTATTGCATTCCCCTTTAAAACTGTGGTGCAATGGTAGTGTCCCTACCTAAGACCCAGGAGGCCTGGATTTAAGTCCCACTTGCTCCAGACGTGTTTCAAAATGTATCTGAATAAATTGATTAGAAAACATCAACTTTGTCAAACTCCTGCAGAGAAAATCCTTCTGAAATTAGCAAGCTTGTGTCTAGCGGAGTCTTCTACAGTGGCAATAGACATATTAGCCTAGGTAAAAGACACCATGTCAGCATGATGAAAACATTCTATTCTGTGAGGAATTGTAATTGGCTGGATGATGATTTAATTTCATTTTGTGAGGAATAACCTCAGGATTTCCAGTAACATGAGTCTAAAGAAGACTGGACAACGTTTTGTGAAGACTTCCCAAAGCTTTCTCTGCTACTCAAGTTTCATGTCAAGAACATTGGATGATTTTTGTGAACACGTTTCTCAACTCTTCCAAATGTTTGGTCAGATTTATGATACTGCTCCAGTTGTGTTAGAAGAGAATGAGCCTCTTTCTTCAGATGTTTCATCACAGGAGACACACTTTGGGGGTAAGCCTGCAACCAGGCTACTATCAGGTTCAGCCTTGTCATTTCAGGAAGTAAATCCTGTGGTACCTAGTCCTTGGTGCAGAACTTTAAGATTTCTCTGATACACTTCTATTCTTCAGACTGGAGTGAGCAGAATTCTCCACCTTCACCTATGGTGATGCTAGTCTCTTTGACTGTCAGTGTTCATTGGAAAAACACTACAAGTATCTACTGAAGATGTGATGGACATTCCGGTCTGTCCAGCTTCAAAAAGTGTTCATAATGATCTTTCAACCAGCAACACAGTGAGTCTGATGAGATTGTACATGAGATGATTACAGAGAACAGCAAACTCTGCATGTGCAGAAAAGTCCTTCAGTAATACTGAATGATGAGATAGATGTTCTACTTCTGTATGAGAACCCAGGAAATTTGTTAGCTTTACTTAGTGTACCAGACATTCTGTCAAAAACAGTAGCAATCTATGTTGAATTTTCTCTAATATTATCTTTCTGTCCACAGTGCTTTGCAGCAACTATGGATGTAGTCTTGACAGTCCTGACTACAAATCTTATAGTGCAAGCAGCAATCTCTGAAGAGATTTTCATTAATCAGCCAGAAGTCTTGCCAGAGTATTTTGAAGAAGTGAAGTTATACTCTGCAGTCTTCCTGATGATTCACTTGTTTCTTCCAAAACTTAAAACTACTTCAACTGCTATCCATACAAATCTCTGTGTGTGTATATGTTTGTGCGCACGTGAATGTGATTGGGGGAGTATGTGATGTTGCACTGATTTCAGCTAAGCATCCGAGGTTAAATAACCTTCCTTAGTTTTTAAATTCATGAAAACTTGATGGTGAATTATTGAATTTAAACACATAGTCCAAAGATAAGAAAAGACCTTTCCTGATGAAACATACTGATTATTGGCAGTAAGATTGTTGTGAAAGTATTCAATGAAACATGGGTAAAGACTGTATTTTTATTTTTTTCCAGTAGTTCAACTTGTGAAATGAGAAAATGAACTGTTTTAAAGCCAGAATTGATGTAGGACTGCTGAGTTAGCAAGAACAGGCTGCCACAGGCTTCTACTGGTGGGAGAATGCACTCATTACCACTGCCTCCGATCACCAGGAGAATGTCCTCGCTACTGCTGCTGCTGCGTCTGATTGCTGGGGATGCCACGTCTGCCACTCTGCATGCAGCCCACACTCACTGCCGCACCAGTGCTGCCAACCGACCCGCCACAGAAAAGAAGTATAAAAAGACTAAAAGAAAAGAATAATAAAGCAAAATAAAAACAAAGAAGGAAGGCAGATGGGCCTTGGACAACAGCCTGCACACAGCCCTGTTGCTCCGCTCCTCCTTTCTGAGGAAGAACGTTAATTCTGATTTTTTTTTCTTCACAGATGCTGCCAGACCTGCTGAGCTTTTCCAGCAACTTCTGTTTTTGTTACCGTTGCTCTGCCACCATCTTGCACCGGGCTGTCTGTGAGTTGATCTGAGCTGTCCATGAGGTTTCTCCACCACATTGTCCTGGATTCCACTAGATAGTGACATTTTAACGTAAATTAAAACAAAGTTTTCTGAGAGACTCATTGTTGAGGTGTTAAGCTCAACAGCTTTGATAAGTGAAGATATTCATTGGACTCAGGTGGATCTTCTCTCAAACAGACTGGGTTTTAAGGCTTGTCTTTAGGCTTAGCCGTGGTGTTGCTAGGCTGCAGAACCACTTCAACTCATACCCTAGGTGCAGTCTTGTAAGGGCCCTGTATAAGTGCAGGAAGGCATTTCTAACTCAAATCCTCTTGCAATGAAATCCAGCATACCATTTGCCTTCTTAATTGCTTGCTGCACCTGCCTGTTTAATTTCATTGACTGGTGTACAAGGGCACCCAGATCCCTCTGTACATCTACATTATCCAATGTATCTCCATTTAAATAAAACTCTGTCTTTCTGTTTTTCTTGCTGAAGCATCTGACTTTAAATTTATCCATGTTATACTGCATCTGCCAGATATTTGCACCCACACTCAACTTGTCTAGGTCACCCTGAAGCCTCCTAACATTGTCCTCACAATTCACAATTCCATCTAGATTGCATCATCAGCAAACTTGGAATTATCATCCAAATCATACATGTATATCATCAATAGCTGGGGCCGAAGCACTGATCCACACAATCTCTAGTCACTGCCTGCCACCCATTTAGTCCCACTCTCTATTTCTGGTCTGTCAATCAATCCTCAAACTATGGCAATATTTATTATACCCAATCCATTGTGTAATTTATTATATATCATTACATATATATATTACACTTGTAATAAATAGTGATTCTTGTTCAATACAAAAACCTGGTCCATGTACTCTGTCAACCTGGGCATGAAAGTCAAGTAAATTGAGGAATCTTTGCGTAAAAAAAATCTTCAACTTTTGTGATGACTCCAGGAATAGCAGGCTCAATTTCCAGGGCACTACTCCAGTGAAGCTGGTTGCACGATGAGAAGGTGCTGCAATGTATATCTTTTTAACTTAGTACTTTTGCAGTGTGAGTCAAAATAGTCTCTTATTCTACCCTTCACATTACCAGATTATAAGAGTATGAACATAGCAAGAAACATGGCAGTAGTGACAGGCATTCAGTGCCTTGAGCTTGCTCCACACTTCTAGGTCATGGATTATCATCTACCTCAATGTCATTTTCCTGTGCTATCCCATTTCCTGTGATGCCACTGTGAAAATGGCAAGCAACATGCATTAAAGATATCGTATCCATGAAAGCAAGTGCAGTGTGCAGTAACTCTGTGGTTAATTGTTTGTTAGCACTCACCTCACTCTCCAAAATATGTTCATTAGCAGTCATTAGGTCGAATGAGGATTCTCTCTCAACAATAACAGGTAGCTGAAATTAATGTAAAACATATTATTGATATAAATCTACCAGCTACATGATTTATCACACTGAGGAGGACAGCAGTGGAATTCCACAGTTCTTGGATTTAATTCTGTATTTTTTATTTAATTACTAGGCAATCTGTCATATGTCGGAAACAAATGCATTTAACACAACAGTAATGTTTTTGGTTGAAGTCCATTGGGTGATCAAAAGTAACCATCCAAACATCCCATTAAGCCTGTTAGTCTAGATTTAACAGCTTTTTTGAAAAACTGTTCAGCATTTCACAACTACCACCTATGCTGGCAATGAGCTTCAAAATTCAATCACACACTTACTAAATATTTGTTGAGTAAATTTCTAATTTTGGTTTGACAACCTGAACTTCAAATCATGGCTCACTAGTGAGAGGGCGTTCAAAAGGCGTGTAGTTTTGGCCAAGTGCTTAGGATGATGGGTTTGAAACCCACTGTGGTCTCCCGTGCATAGGTTCAAATCCTGCTGACTATGGTCCGTGTTTCTGTCAGTTTTTAGATGGAGGTGGTGAACGAGTGCTATTATCACTAGACTATTAATCTGGAGACTGAAGTAATGTTCTGGGACCCCAGGTTCAAGTCCTGCTATGGCAGACGGTGCACTTTGAATTCAACAAAAATCTGGGGTTAAGAATCTAATGATGACTATGAAACTGTTGCCAATTGTCAGAAAACCTATCTGGTTCACTAATGTCCTTCAGAGAAAGAAAACTGCCATCCTTATCTGGTCAGGCCTACGTGTGACTCCAGACCCACAGCAATTTGGGTTGACTCTGAACTGCCCTCTGGGCAATTAGGGATGGACAATAAATGCTGCCTCGCCAGCAACACCCACATGCTGTGAGTGAATAAAAATAAAGGCAGCCACAAAGGCAGCTGTAATGCCAGTTGAAGTGTCCCAGCAACATCTACCAATATCACAGGGAGGGGCAGTCACTGCTACATTCACACTCAAAACAAGTCAGAAGAGTCTGCCTCACAACAGCAGTTGTCAGAAATCAGTGCTATCTGCTGCAGAATGACTGTCAGACAATTTCTGTAATATAGCAGCTTCTGCACATTTTGAAAAGTTTAGAAGAATAACTGGAGAATACAGAAGAAGCATGTTGAGAGTGGCAACGCCAATTCTATTACTGGAATCTTTAACTGAGAATCCATAAAATAGATAGGCTAGTCACCATAACTACGCAGTTCATTCTCAGACATTACAGAAACATTGCATAGCAGACTGACCTTCTCTAGGATAAATTCATAAGGACGCTTCCATGAGTGAATTTTAAGAGTCGGTGGCAGTTCAATCTTCCCTTCTGGGTCCTCAAACAATTGCTATGGAAAGATAAGACATTCAAAGGTTCACCAAAACATAAAACTGGTTAATGTTATAATATGTGTTAACAAGAGAAAAACTACACCCACATGTTAAGATCTCTGCTTCTTGGTATAACTCAGCTTTCTCTATATTTTAATTACCATGAAAATTCTCCAGTTGCAGAGTAATTCTCTCACCAGCAAAATCATTTCTACTTAGCTATTTGGTTATTTGATTTACCATTACTTTTCTTTGGCTAAAACATCACTGACAAGTGATAAAATCAAACTGAGACCATTCAAAAGAACAGCCATGAACATTCAAAGCAGGTGTGAGAGCACAAAACCCCATTTAATGAGCATTTGAACATAAAATTATGATTCATTTCTGGAGAGGCAGGGGTGGGTTGTGGGAAAGAGGCCAATTGCTGTGTAAATCTTCCTTCGATGAAGGTTATTCACTTGATCCTGGATCCTGCCGTTTATAATAGTAAACATGACTTTCTAGTGGATTTTTCTACCTAGCGGGATGATTTAATTTAGTGGAGTCCCACTTTGGACCAAATGCTACATGCACAAGAGCTTATGTTAAATACTGACTTCATTTCACCGCATCAAAAACATAATAGTCAGCACTTGTAATGTTTCAATGAAGAGGTAATTCCCAGGAGTTTGTAATACAAGCTGGGGGCTAACATAATATTTGGAGCTGCACTCATCTGGGCAAGTGGGGAGCATACCATTCTGGTTTGCGTCAGCACGTCCTCTTCTGTAACGTCGAATCTTGTCAAGACATCAGTATTTATTTCCGAGTTCCCTATCTTCCATCTCTTTCTCCACAATAAATACTGATGCAAGATATTCATTTAGGATCCCACCCAGCTCCTGTGGTTCACTGCATAGACATGCACTCTTACTGATACCATCATGGACAGATGCATCTGCAGCAGGCAGATTGGTAAGGATGAGGTCAAGTATGTTTTTCCCTCAGTTCTGAAGAAGGGTCACAAGACCTGAAATATTAACTCTACTCTCTCTCCACAAATGCTGCCATTTCTGAAGAAGGGTCTAGGCCCGAAACGTCAGCCTTCCTGCTCCTCTGATGCTGCTTGGCCTGCTGTGTTCATCCAGCTCTACAATCTTGTTATCTCAGATTCTGTAGCATCTGCAGTTCTTACTATCTCTGCTGCCAGATGTGCTTAGTTTCTCCAGCGATTTCTATTGTTATTTCATGTTTTTCCTTTGTGATGGTTCCCTTGCCACCTGCTGCAGACCCAATCTTGCATCTATGTCCTATAGGAGCCGACTACTTGAACAGTAGTGTCGCTGCCAAGCCACTCAGTAGTGGACATTGAATACCCCATCCAGAGTACATTCTGCAATATTGCCATCCTCGGTGCTCCCTTCAAGTGTTGTTTGACATGGACAAGAATGGATTCATCACCTGAGGGGGAATGGTTTGTAGTTATCAGCAGGAACTTTTCTTGCCCATGTTTAACCTGGTACCATTAGACTTCATGGGGTTTGGAGTCAATGTTGAGGACTCCCAGGACAACTCCCTCTCGACTGTATATCAATATGCCACCAGCTCTTCTGTGTCTGTCCTGCCGGTGGGACAATACATATCCAAGAACGGTCATGATGATGTCTGCAAAAATGTTTGTCAAGTACGATTTTGTAAGTATGACTATGTCAGGCTGTTGCTTGACTTGTCTGTGAGACAGCTCACTTGATTTCGGCACTATAGCCCCCGGAGGTTAGTAAGGAGGACTTTGCAGGATCGACAGACCTGTTTCTGCTGTTGTCTTTTCCAGTGCGCAGGTCAATGCTAGGTAGTCTGTCTGGTTGAATTTATTTTTTTGAAAGTCTATCAAAATTGACACAACTGAGTGATATTTTAGAGGGCAGTTGAGAATCAACCATATTGATATGGGTATGGAATCACATGTAGGCCAGACGTGAGGATGGCAGAATTCCTTCCCAAAATGGGTTTTTCCCAACAATTGGCACTGGTTTCATTGTTGTCATTAGGTAATTAATTCCAGATACTTATGGAATTCAAATTGCACCAACTGATATGGCAGGATTTGAATCTGAATTCCCATAACATTGGCTGAGTTTTTGGATTAATCGTCTAGCAATATTCCATTTGCCCATCGTCTCCCACAGAAGAGATCCATCAAGTCAGATTTGATACCTAGTTTCATAAACCACTTAACCAGGTTTTGAACCTTTTCAGACTCAGAGGAGGCAGGAGAAAAGGGTCAAGGTTATGTAAACATCTCTGTAATTAAAAAGAAATGGATGATTCAACTGTGGTGATGGTTCAGAAGGTAAAAGTGCACTCAATGTAGCTTATTCATTGCTCGTAAATTTAATAATACTTTTGAAATTAGGAACCTAGTGATCTTGTACCTTCCTAATAGAAAAACATATTCTAAACATAGTAAAAAGAAAATCATCAGCAGCATTTAGAGCTTTACTTTTCATACCTGAAAACAGCATGTGAATTCGTGATTTTGGCACATTAGTCATTTCTTCTTCTGAAGACACTGACTCGTCCTCGTCACATTTAAATGTTGCATCCCATCTCAATTAATTATTTCTGAGGTTTTAATGAATCATAATAATGCTGCATATGAACTGATCTTGATAAAATGACATCCTGAAATGTCATTTTTGATAGCTGCCATGTACCAAAACTATACTTGAGATAACCTAATCCATTGGGAAGGCGATGGCTGGGGGTATTATTGCTATACCATTAATACAGAGACCAGGGTTCAAATTCCACTACCTGCCATGGTGCCAAAATTCAATTAAAAAATTTGAAATTAAAAATCTAATGGCGAACGTGAAACTCCTGTCGATTGTAGAGAAAACCCAGCTGCTTCACTGGCATCCTTATGTGAAGGAAACTGCCATCTTGGTCTATATGTGACTCCAAACCTACAGAAAATGTGGTTGACTCTTAATTAAGGATGGCCAAAATATGCTAGCCTAGCAGTAATGCTCATATCCCATGAATGATGTTTTTTAAATTAAAATTATTCTACGCAAATCTTCAAAGACAAGGACCCCGATTATTACAACTGAGAGGTAGCTCAAATTTGGAAATTTCCCACCTTGCTGTCCCTATCTAAGTGGAAAGGCCCACAAATGGTGCAATTTTTGCTTTGGGAGAAAGGGCGAGCAGATGCAGGATGGAGTTCAGCTAGCCATCCTTGGGAGCAGGACAGAGGCAGTTACAGATATAGACAAGAATTTGTATGGTCTGACTAAAAAGCTGTCTCAGTACTCTGGTACTTCTTCCAGTTGTTTGGTTACATTTTAAGCACTCTAACACTCATTGCTCCAGTTCCCCACCCACTTCTGAAGCCAATTTGATGTCCATTCGTGCCTCCCAATGACCCTCACACTCTGCAATTCACAGGGCCTTCCATGTTAATTTGCCAGAAGCAATGAACCCTACAGTAAAAATGGCATGCATGAAGCTGCTCAGAAAACAAAAACACCTATTCATAATTCTTCAGAAAAAATTATGTTCCTATAATCCTAAGGAAGTGTCCATCAAACTGATCTTTAAAGTATGACAACAAAAGTTGTAGCCACTTCACACCAATTAAAGTTGTGCAAACATACACTAACACTAGAAATCATAGAAACATAACTTATTTGAATCACATAAAGATGTCAATCAAACAAGGTCAAGTGTCCTGTGTAGAACTCCGATAGAGTTAATCCTTTTATAAATCATGCATGCATCCTTTACCAGTGCATGATTAGAGTGGCAAAACTACAAGTCTCATCCACACTTTTGCTGACTCCCAGCCCCATACCCCATCTGTTTTATCATGGAAAGAGGCATGAAAATCGGGACCAATAATTGACTTTAATTTTGTAAATTTAGAAACAATATCATTTGCAACTTATAGGTTTTCATCTACATGTCTGCTTCAAAGAATTTGTTCTGTAGTTTTAACCTCGAGCATGTAGTCATATATTTGCAGGAGGCAGTGGCATAGTCATAATTTCACTGGTCTAATAATCCAGAAAGTTTTAGGGACAAGAGTTCAGATCTTGTCATAGCAGACAGAGAATCTGGCCAGCAATGCCCACATTACATGAAAAATAAAAGAAAATATCTTCTTACAGAGATAGTAGGAACTGCCGATGCTGGAGAATCTGAGACAACAAGGTGTAGAGCAGGCCAAGAGCAGGAAAGCTGACGTTTTGGGTCTAGACCTTCTTCAGAAATGGGGGAGGGGAAGGGGTTTCTGAAATAAATAGGGAGAAAGGGGGAGGTGGATAGAAGATGGATAAAAGAGAAGATAGGTGGAGAGGAGACAGACAGGTCAAGGAGGCAGGGTTGGAGCCATTAAAGGTGAGTGTAGCTGGGGAGTTAGGGAAGCAGGAAAGCTGACGTTTTGGGTCTAGACCCTTCTTCAGAAATGGGAGAGGGGAAGGGGATTCTGAAATAAATAGGGAGAAAGGGGGAGGCGGATAGAAGATGGATAAAGGAGAAGATAGGTGGCCTGCTGTGTTCATCCAGCTCTACACCTTGTTGTCTCAGAAAATATCTTCTGTTTGGGTAAGAGAAGGTTGGCATCATATACATTTGATCTAACGAAGTTATTACGATCAGAATTGATTCCCTGTCCAAAACTAATCTCATTTAAAATAGTATAAAATAACAGACATTCAAATCTTAACTCAGAAAGATTTTCTTTAACAAAATATTTAACTATTGTCAGATGTGAGTTTCACAGATAACATTTATTGTTCCTCCTTAGCTACATTTGAACAGATGGTCATAAGCCGCCTTCTTCAACTGCTCCACTTTGTGTGGTGAAGATACTCAAAAATGATACACACAGTGTTGTTAGGGAAGGAGGTTGAAGATGTTGACACAGTGTCAATGAAACTATGGTGATAAGAGATCAAGTCAGGAAGGTGTATCACATGGCCTTGGTACTATTCCTATGCACAAATCTTTGTCCAGTTTGAAAAATGAAATTAAAGAAGCCTCAATGAGTTATTGCCTTAATTGAACATGCCTCTATCACATTTCCAGGCACTGCATTCCATACCCTAACTACCTACTGTGTGAAAAAGTTTTTTTCTCACTTCACCTTCACTTCTTTTGCACATTATTTGCACAATTTCTAGGTCACGGCTCCATCTTTGGAGGATGTAGTTACAGCCCTCAAATGTTGACAGAGGTAGACTGCTAATTCACTGGATGGTGGACTGAGTGGCCAATTAGTAGCCTGGGGGCAGGGGAGGGGGGCAGAGAATGGAGGTAGGGTTTAGTGAGTGGCACTTGATTTGAACACACTATTGTTATCTGGCTATTATTGTGCAGTCACTTTATTAAATGAATTAAGTAGAAGTGGTAGGAGAGGAAAGGCAGAGGGATGGCACCAGGCATAGAGCTGACACACAACTTGAGGAAGTAAGGGTGAGAAAGAAGGGCGTTGTTCCAGAGGGTAACAGGAGAAGGCCACCCTCCCACCCAAGCTTGTCTGGCTAGAGGTTGATGAGATCATTAGCAGAAAAGTATGGTGAGGAGGAACTTAGGTCGGAGCAGAAAAGGATCAATTTCCTTAATTTTTCTAGCAAAGTGAATGCTATGTCTGACTCTCATGCCAAGCCCCTAGGAACTCAATCCCTGCAGGTACACCATTTGCAGAGTCTGAGGATGGAAGTTGCTCCTGAACATGGCAGGAACTTGTGCTCAGGTTACCTACTGCTCCTTCAAAACTCAGAGCCAATGCAATATTTAGGATATGTCAAAGCTGATATGTGCAGTTTCCTATGTCAATTAGCCAATAGCATTGGTGGTAGGGACAAGGAGTGCCTTATCTCTTATCCTAGGAAAAAAATGGAGTTATGACCCACTGATAATGGTGCTGTTGAGGAGAGAAGTCTCACATTTGACATTTGCATGAATCAGGGAGTTATGGAATTTTCCAGCCCCTCACCCCTGCTCCTGCCAAGATGGGCATTCTTGATGGACAAGTTGGATAGATTTTGCAATCTAAAAAATAGGCAGATTCAGGGCACTTCATCCTATCTGGCAGCATACTAAAGCTGCATTTAGAAGCTTCAGAAATGCTGGTTTTCATTCCTTTCAGTGTCCCATAAGTTCTGATGTGAAGGGGAATGGAAAGATTCTGGCAGCGCCAAGACAACCACTGGAAGCAGTGACACGAGAGCAAGAATTGTCATATTTCACAAGTGCACCCTCATTAAAGCATGCTACAGAGATCAACTTCTGTTGTGGTGTGGTCGCAGATCAATTGAGCAATGAGAAATTTTTACTAGGCACTCAGTGGGTGCATTGCTGAACCAAGTAGAAGTAGTCACTGATGCCCTGAACCTGAGGATATTTTGCAGATGTGAAACTTACTGCCCTCTGTGCCTGTGTGACCTGTGTCTGGAATTAGAACATAGAACATAGAACAGCACAGCACAATACAGGCCCTTCGGCCCTCAATGTTGTGCCGACCTATTATGCTACGAAGATCAATCTACCCTGCATACCCTACATTTTACTATCCTCCATGTGCCTATCCAAGAGTCGCTTTTAAGTCTCTAAAGTATCTGACTCCACTACCACTGCCGGCAGCACATTCCACACGCCCACCACTCTCTGTTTAAAGAACCTACCTCTGACATCTCCCCTATACCTTCCTCCAATTACCTTAAAATTATGTCCCCTCGTAATAGTCATTGTAGATTGTAACCAGCTTTCGCCAAGTATGGCATGAGTAGCCTGTGAAAGCGGCAGTAGTGTTCACCTCTCAGTCACCTCTACAAAATCCCTTTCACTCACAGAATTGTGTTTTGCTTCTTAAAGATGACAACACCACCCAACAAATGCTAGGAAGAACATTTTCAAAAACTCATCAGCCCACAAATCTGGTTGACTCATGATGCCAGCTGATATTGTCCAGGCTGTATCCAACTCTCTTTGGTAAGAAGTCATGGGGGTCACACAACAAGCAATCAAACAATGAAACAATGGAAAACAATAAAGTCTTGGCTCTAACTGTATTCCAGTTACAGTCTTAAAAGATGATAGATATTTGCTCACATCACATCTCATAAAGACTTATAAAATTCTAACAGGACTAGACAGAGTAGATGCAGGGAGGATATTCTCGATGGTCGGTTTGTCCAGAACCAGGAGTCACAGTCTGAGGATTTGGGCTAGACCATTTAGGATGGAGGTGAGGAGACATTTCTTTATCCAAAGAGTGGTGAGCCTGTGGAATTCATCACCACAGGAAGAAGTTGATACCAAAACATTGAATGTATTCAAGAGACGGCTAGAAATAGCACTGGGGCAAATGGGATCAAAGGTTGTGGGGAGAAAGCAGGATAAGAGTATTGAGTTGGATAATCAGCCATGATTGTGATGATTAGCAGAGTAGGCTCAGAGGATTGAGTGGCCTCCTCCTGCTCCTTTCTTCTATGTTTCTCTGTATGTTTCTATGACTACAAGCACTCATCTTACAGATTTGGGAGGATAATGACCTTCTTCACACCTACTTCAGAAATGCAATAATTATAACTATCTTTAAGAAGGGAGATAAATTATTCTGTGTTAGCTATCAAGGTATTTCATTCTTGTCAATCACAAAGAAAACCTTAACATGCAATCTTCTCAATCACATACTTCCTGTAGCACAAGAAGTCATCCCAGAGACACAATGTGGTTTTCGACCTCCCAGAGAAACCTTGAACACAGTCTTCCTTGACAGACAAGAAAACTGACAATAACAGGAATTCTTGACTACTTTCATTGACCTGACCAAAGTATTTGATTCAGTGGTTCAGTATTTGATTCACATGAGGTTCTGTGGATTGCATTCCAAAAGTCCAAGAAACTTCATCTCAATTCTGCAATCACTAAATGATGATATGACGGCAACTATCTTGATTGGGAGTTTTGAAGCAGACACCTTCAAAATTCGCTTGGGGTCAAACAAAGATGTGTGAAGCCTCTTACCATTTACAATCTACCCGACAGTGGCTATTTACCTCAAAGATCAACTTTGCCCTTTGGTGACAGTATTAGCTCACCTCTCAAATGGTCAACATTTCAGGGGAGGACAAAGAAAATGCTCCAAAAACGTTCTGAAGCTCTCCTTTAACCTTAGCAACATTGATAATAACTGGGTGGAACTTGTTACCAATCATTCAAAATGGCAATAACTTATCCATCAAACTGTATGATGCTTTGAGTCACGTCTTGATGATGAGGGACAACAGTAGCACAGTAGGAAAGAAAAGGGAGAAAATCCTGCACTCCAGATCCCACCACCATCAACATGAAATGCCAAAAGATCTGAGGGTCGAAAATTAGTTTGCTCAAGCACATGAAGACGAATGGCAGAAGATCTATCCTGAGAAGGCTTCATTCTTGAATCAAGGAAAAGCCTGCAGCAGCAACTGGGTTGACTATTAGAAGTTTCAAAATGGATATGTTCAACTCCTGACATGCCAAAATCAGCTACATCTAAGGATAACTAATGAAACTGTCTGGGTATACAACATATGTGATTAAGACTCAGATGTTAAGTATCAGCAGTAAAAGGGAAATTATGATTTTTTTTAAACAAAACATACTGATGTAGTTAATGGACTGACCAGACTTGGACTTTTACCAGCTTTGTCCTTTTCTTTAACTGTTTTGGATAAGTCCCATTTCTCAGCATTCACATCCGCTTCATTCCACTCTGGCCAGAGAGGATATCGACTCTTCCTGGATTCAGTAATTCCTCCTGTACCTCCACAGCTCAGAACAAGTGAAGCAGTACTGAAGAGAAAATAAAATGACAATGGGTCAAGATGGATGACATTAAACTCATAACTCCAAAGGTACTTTTGGAAAATCAACCTCAGTAAATGCAGCCAGTCATTAAGAAGAGGAAAAAAACTGCAGACTTAAATATTCATGAAATAAATACTACTCATGTTTCAAAAGAACACTGTGTGAAATTTATTGTCAATTTTTTATGCTAGTTGTAAGGTAAAATGGTATAAATGTAAAACTGTTGACAGTTCAAACAAGTTTTTGAGAAGGTAATTTGTGAATCCCTCTCCTGTTTCATCATTTCTTTCTGCAATTTGAATGGGTTGCATTACAGAAACCTGCCCTCAGTTGGCAATTAGGAAGGCAAAAGCAATTTTAGCACTCATTTCAAAAGGGCTAGAATACACAAGCAGAAATACACTGCTCAGGCTGTATAAGGTACTGATCAGACCCTATTTCGAATGTTGTGAGCATTTTTAAACCCATATCTAAGGATGTGCTGGCGTTGGAGGGGTCTAGAGGAGGTTTATAAGAATTATCCTGGGTATGAAGGCCTTGACATATGACGGGTGGTCGAGGACTCTGGGTCTGTAACTCAATGAAGTTTAGAATGATGGGGGGTATCTATTTGAAACTTATGGAATATTGATTGGTTGGATAAAGTGGACATGGAGAAGATGCTTCCACTGGTAGGAGAGACTAGGACCTGAGGGCATAGCCTCAGAGTGACCCTTAAAAACTGAGATGAGGAGGAATTTCTTCAGCCAGGGTGGTTAATCTGTAGAACTCGTTGCCACAGAGGGCTGGGGAGGCCAAATCTTTGGGTGTATTTAAGAAAGAGATAGATAGGTTCCTGATTGGTAAGGGAATCAAGGGTTACAAAAAGAAGGTAGGAGAATGGGATTGAGAAACATATCAATCATGATCGAACATCAGAGCAGACTCCATGGGCCAAATGGCTTAATTCTCCTCCTATGTCTTATGGTCTAAGTAACAAACCTAACATGCCTGCAAAACATTGTGAAATAAAAGAAAGTTGATCTTTCCTAAGTGGGTTCATTCATAACAGTATCAGGTTGAGTCCCATCTTCAAATTGGGACACTGAGGATACTCCCTTAAAAAAATGATCAATGAATCTGATGGCACTTTGGGATACTGTGACAGGTGAACAGGAAGGATAAACCTTTTCATTAATCCTCAGTCAACTTCCTTGATTTGGGCTTCTGCTCCTTATCTGCTAGTAGATGCAATCATCTTGTCTTCGCTTTTAGGTGGATGGAAAAGATCCGATAGAACTACGTCGAAGAAGAGAGGAACTCTTTCTGCAAACATTGTAAAGCAGATCACCTGCCATTATCACACTACTGTTTTCTCGTATCTTGCTAAGCATAAATTAACAGTCGAACAGTGAATACATATCAAAAGGACTTCAGTTAAAGCACTTTGGGACATCCTGAGATTGTGCAAGGCACAATATACTTGCAATCTTCTTTAAAACGTTCATCAACCTTACAGCCAGCCAGGATTTCCATGGCTCTTCTGATTCTGACCTCTTGCCCATCTCGCCCTCCCTTT